TAGGCCTTCTCCGGATTCCATCTGCCGGCCAATGTCGGCTGGTGACTCCCCGGGGGAGAGCCTTCTCTGTTGCTGCTCCAGCCCCCTGGAACGAGCTCCCCATGGAGATCCGGACCCTTACTACCCTCCCGGCCTTCCGCAAAGCCACCAAGATCTGGCTGCTCTACTCCTTCTATTCCCCCCTCCCATTGACTATACTTAAAGAAACAGCATAATGAAATAAGAGAAAGTGTGGCAGGCCAAAATTCTAAAAGGAATATAAATGCAGGCCTGACACATTGAGTGTCTGCACTGCACTAGGTGGATGTCATAGGTTTGATTTGCAAAACAATACTAATTGGATTGTACTTTCTTCCAAAGGATCCTTGGAAAATAGGATTACAATTATATGGTTCCTGTTTTTTTAAATACCTGCTTTTTTTTCCAGCCTTTATTTTCTATATACCTGGTTTTCCCCAAAATAAGATCTCCTGGATAATAAGCCCAATCAGGCTTTTGAGCGCATGCACTAAAATAAGCCCTCCCCTAAAATATTTAACCGCATGTACAGCCGGTCCCTGCCATTTCCTGGGGGGAGGGGATAACATGCCCCACGCATCCCACATACATCTGCCATCTACGCAGAATGTCCTTGCGGAGGCCACTTATGCAAATCCTAGCTACTGCACCCCTTCTCTTAGTGGCAGCTGCAAAAAGAGCCGCAGGTGCAGCGAAGCTATGGCTGCCAAGAGTGCACCAGAAACAGAGACAGAACGTCCGGCTCTCTCTGGATCAGCTGATCCATGGGCAGCGGGCTGAGGTTAAGGGGTCTCCTGCACCTCAAAAATAATAAGACCTCCCCGAAAATAAGGCCAAGCGCTTATTTTGGGGGTCAAAAGAAAATAATACCCTGTCTTGGAATTTTCCAAGAACTAACATTATGTAGCTACTGAGATCTTCCTCAGATGTTCTCTTCTTTGTAGTTCTTAGTATACCAGAATTGCAATAGACACAAGAGAAAGCAACAGTTTTAATGTAGTAGTACATAAATACACTATTGTAACCAACAAATAAGCTGGTTAAAAATAATTGAAGATACTAGTCTGGAAATCATTAATTTGGAAAAGATGATATAGACTGATAATAACTTTGATATATGGAAGATGGTAGAAGAAATGCTTGCTTTTTCTACTTAGTACCTTAACTGGTGTCTTTGTCAGTTGGGAAAAGATATGCAGTTTTCTTTTTTACAAGGCTGACTAGCAGCTGCATCCGGCAGTTTTACCCAGGCAGTAAACATTAACAGGGATGTGAGAAGAGCAGACAGTGAAATAGATTCCTCATCACTTTTTATTAAAAAAGATTCCTGTTAAATATTTCCTCTTGCAAAGTTAACTGGGGGAAAGGAGAAAAATGCACCAGAAGTGGGCATTTATACTACAATAATCTTTTGAGGCATTCCTGTAGAGATGCAGTTTTCTTTTTAAAAACTGTTACAGGCACTATGCATGAAATATGAATAGAATAGAATAGAATAGAATTTTATTATTTGTATGC